TAACATTGGATTTTTAGTTCGATTTGACGAATAATGCTTGCAAATTATTGCTTAGACTTGGATTGTTAGGAAGCATCTTTAAAAGTGCAACAACTTTATGCATATAAAATGAAGTAATTTGATCGTACAAAGAATAAAATAAAGTTGGATAAAACTTGTGGTGTTCATATTACGAGAAGGCTATAATTTTCAAAATAACTTCACTACCTATATTTTTATTTCTTATATATAAGTAAGGTTTCACTTACATTGGTCGAAATTACAAAAGTCCACAAGTTTACTATGACCAAAGATTAGGCCATTCATATATGGATACATCAAAGTCTATTTTCCAATATTCACAAGTAGATTTTATGATATATTTTTTTTCCTTTCACATTTTAATGATGTATTAAAACATTTGAAATACTTTTTAGCTAACATAATTAGAGTAATTTAATTAATTAATGGTGATCTTTTAGGTAGTATTGCACTCATAGCATCTCTCTAAATACTCTTTTATATACGTAAGAATATTAGGTCGAACTAATACACAAAGAATTTCCAACACCTTAACGTTTGTGATCAAAGGATGACAATAAAATATTAAGCTCAATGCTCTCTAACATCGTTAATCTTTTCGTAAAACATTATTAATCATAAAATGTGTTCTCATTATCACTATGGTTAATTCTTTGCATATAGGCGACTCCTAAATTAATATAATGAGAAGCATCAACTCGCAATATTGAAGTTACCTTCCAATATAAAGTTATAATTAAAAATCCATTAATAATTTGCATTAGGAATAACTAGAACATTCTATATACAAAAGCATATTTACGGGAATCGGATATATATATAGATATATAAATTATGTTATAGCAATGATCCATAGGTTGATTCATTGGTTGAATCATTAACTTGAAGACCCAATGATTTGTTCGAATCGACAATTAAGTCGGGTCTGACAACTATGTATATAAGTACACAAATAATTAAATTATTCCTTTTACTATAAATTCAAAATTATACTTCTTGAGATGAAAACCTAGAGCCCACCTAGAATTTGTTAGCCCAATTGAGAGTCCATTTTCCAGCTCAGGCCCCGATCCTCCAGTGCTTACGTGGATTGATCCGAATTTCATTTTACGCCCTTCAGAATCCAAAATTGAAAATTCTCATTATATGCGACGAAAATTTTCTTTTAATTAGGTGAATTTCCTCAATTCTACACACAACATTCATTTATGGATATTGACATTTGATTTATGTATGCATGCATGTACGATGTATGTTTTTCAAGATTTTAACTGACTCAGGAACCTTGGGTTTTTGAATCATTGAGTTTTTGATAGAGAAGGAAAACAGTAATTTTTAATTAGAATGAACTTGAATATCCCATTTTGATTATACTTTTTAAGCTGGAGCTATGAATTTTGATTTGGATTCGGAGAACAATTTTACAGGCATGCTCTCACTCGACGTTTTGGTTGTTAACCAGATATTTTTGTAGTTGCACCACTGACTACTCTCGACGGAGAAAATATATGTAATGTAATTAAATTTGCGACTACTTTGAGAATTCTTGGATTCGTGCAGCCACCATAAACACCCATCACAGAAGTATCTCGTCGAACTGTGAAGCTTGAAAGGCTTCACATGTACAGACTTGTACCTCAGGTTTACGCTTGCATGTTCAAAGAACTTGGGGCACTCACTGGGTTTAGGTATAGATTAAGGTTTTGATTATATAAATAATTGGTTGATTCTTAGGTTGCCAAATCGAGGATTTTTCGTTCAATTTATCAATGGCCTAGCTTTCAGCCATCTACTGGACCACTCTCTTCCTTATGATATCCAAATGGAGCAGAGGAATTTATCGGCTCATCCCATTCTCTCTTCATATTTCTGGATCACATTACTAGTAGAAATGGTTCACTTATGAGCCAAATAACGTGTTCGGTAGATGCATCTCATATGAAAACAGAAGACAGCACGCATCCCAGGGTATTATATATACATCAGTAAATCCCAAACCAAGAGTCACAAACAATACATATGAAAATTACACGATACAAATCCGCTGTCTACATCCCAAGCGTTCGTTCTTAATATCAACTACTAACACGGCATGTCCTCGCATCAAAAGGAGCTTATTATGCAGATTCAGCAAAACCCAGTCGGAGATTACCAGAGTCAAATACAGTGTGATAAACGCCCATGAACACATCTCCAAGAATCCTGCAGCCACATCAAAATACTCAGAATAAGTACCAAACTGGATTATGATCTAATCGAATGTGGACGAATTTTTATATCAAAATATAATATGACATACCACAGAGGTCCGCGAGGTGCTGGTACATCCAGAGCCATAAATCCACTGATGCAAACGGTGGCGATGCCTTCACCAGTTTTGAGAATATACTAGTTTGCCAGCAAAACAAAACAGTTTAGGACTGGTAGTAGACCATTATTCTGTAAATTTATAATTTTCTCCATTCATAAGCTATGATGAAAAATAAGCAATTTTAATGAATGAACAAACCTGTTCTGGTGTGAGAGGGTAAGCTTTGCCTCCAATGGTGAAAGTGACAGTTGGCATGTCTGACATGGAATCGCAGTCAATTGCAGACTCGCCCGCTGGACTAGGGAGGCTCTCACAAAGCTAACAAAACATGAAAATCCACATTTGAATACAGACAATATGCAATAATTCTTAGGCTGTTGAAGAAGAATTAACCCCCAAGGTCACCTGATTCACATATTCTAGTACTTTTTCTTTCACTTCTTCTTGTTTCAATTCGCTTTGCATCCAAACAACGGCCATTTCGCAGGCAGTACATAGCAAGCTCTCACGAGCTGATGTTCCCTCCTTGTTCTCCTTATCGACAACCATTTCGATATCAGAGCTGCAATCAATCACAAGCAGATACATACAACCTCGTTGATCGTATTACCAAACAAGAAAAATCAGACGATTAAATGAGGGGAAAAAAAATCTCATTTAAGGTAACACACCTCACAGACTGAGCAGCATAGGAAGAACATAAACCGATATGTGAACAAACTTTGTCCGGTTGTAACTGCAGGAAAATAAGAATTCATTTTGATTTTCCACCATATAAGTAGGATGGAGTAAGAGGTGGCGGAGGTAAAAGTATAACATACCCCTGATACCAAAAGGTCCCATATCATGTCTCCATATTGAGAGGCAATTTCTTTGCATTCCATGCTTACTACGCCTTCTGCTCCAATGGCATGGTTGATTTGAGTAATAACAGTCTGAAATGCAAGTAATTTTATTATTGCCTTGAACCAGCACGATAAGTTTAACTAAGATATATTTCTAAATAATACAATAAACCTGATGTTAACATCAGCTATATTTCTGAGAATGAAACAAGAATAAAATGAGGGAAAACGTACAGTTGGACCAGCAAGCAAGGACGTTCCAGAATCGATAATAGCAGCACAACCACCCTCACAAAAACCTGAAGGCAGAATTGAAAATGAAGTGACATGATTGAAAAATAAGAATTCTGTCTATTTTAGGTTCAAGTTTTTGGTAACAAGAAAACCTTCTGGACTCAAATAACTGCGGATATTACCTGTTGATAAATTTCCGATAAGAAAATCTCCCATTTCGAACTGGTAAAAGAAAGATACGGACACATATGAGAACAAGAGGAGACGCAGAGGAAGAAAATAAGACAATTGATAATTTGATTTTAGTTCATGTAGAAGAACCAAACTATAAGTGAATAATCCATCTTCATATACCTGCCAGTAACCTTTTTTGGTCACAGGAACATAACTATGTTTTCCCTTGTAGTGTTTGGGGTCAACACCACCAAAGACAATCTCACCACCCTCTTCTGCTTCTGTATCTCGATTAAGCCAGAAAGAGAATACTGGCTCATCGACAAGACCTTGCTTGACCATGTTGTACCTGTAATTTGTAATTGGAAATCAGTTTAAGGGGGTGATCATTGGAAAAGATGAAATACAGAACATGGACTCAATCACTTGAATCAAATGAATACCAGACTGGCACTTGATCGCCAACCGAAATTTCCTGGAAACCAAGCCCAAGTATTCCATCAAATTTGGCTATTATAAAGGTAAGGCTTGGCTCTCTTGTAGCCTCAATAAAAACCTGAAAAAGAAAAGTAGAAACGTTTTGAGTACAATCATTTGAAGTACGGTAGACACGAATTGGGATTAAAGAAAGAGAACTAACTTGATCTGTAACCACCACATCACCAACTCCGACGTTATCTTGGCTGAAATGTCCAGAAATCGATCCAGAGCCATAGTGAATTGAACATGGCTTTCCTGAATCATGGGAAGTTTCAATTTGTTAAATAAATTTAAGATTGGCAGCCCAACATGTTCTTAATCTCCACAATCATCAAAATAGCATGTAAATTAGCAAATAAGTCAACATACCATTCTTTTTATATGTACTTGACTTGCTGGCCTTGTACTTCGAATGGAAATAGCAAGCAATCTGCCCGAAAATTTAATTTGCTAAGCAACTGTACAGAAAAATGAGAACCAAAATCTAATGAAGAATTTTTTTTTAGGAATACACTTACAGAAAGATAACATTTTGAGGACGGAACCCATAAATTGGAACTGCCAGTATCAAATATCACAGTGAAATTCTGAGGGGGTGACCCGATACTAATCTCTCCATAGTATTGAGCATCCAAGTAATTTTTCAGCTCTACTATGTCTCCTTTTGAATCACCTAGCTTGAGCTGTGCATTCTTTAAACCCTTCCCATATTTCCCCTCCAATCTAGCTTGTACAGCAGCTTTAATGCTGAGAAGATCCAAGGGTCTCCTTTTCAGGTTAATTCTCCTTAGGCCATCCGAAGAAGGAAGTTGGGAGAATATTAACGTTAACAAACAGAAAACTGCATACAGATAGTTGCGATTCATCTTTGAAAATTACCTGTTCAGACAATCAATAAAACGTGGTCAAGAGAATAAATTTTAAATTTTGATAATATAAAAAGGGCATGTCAAAATCCATCAAAACATTCGTATCGAACAAGCAACTAAGAAACAGAGAACTCTTTATCTACATGCCATTAGAAAAATTTTGTCTTGGGTGCAAATTCTGTTGTTTCAAAAATAAAATGGATTTGAGTGATGACTTTAAAATTAAATTTAGGGCCTGTTTGTGCCCCTTTAATTTCAAAAAGTGTATTATGAAATAGTGATTAATGTTGAAATGTGTGGTTTGTTGAGTGGCATTGGACCTCTCCCACCCCAAAAACTAGCTCAAGAAGTGAGGCTTTCCTTTCCACTGATAAACTGAATACCAACCCCAACTATAATTGAAGTAGGACAACATAAATATGGTTAAAACAGAAGACAAAGTTTTTGATTTATGTGTAATATTATTTTAATGAAGAATGTGCAGTTGAAAATGAGTACTGTAAAAAAAATAATGTGGTAGAATGGTTGATAAACAAAGGCTCACTAATCCTTACCAAAAAATGGACACAGTAGCGTTAAGAAATAGAAGAATATAAATGATATTAAACAACCAATGAATTTGAACAAAGAAACACCAAAGAAATGAATGCAGAGTTAAAGCAAGAGTTGAAGTCTTTGTCCTTAAGTCGATTTAGACCCTCAATGATGCCTATGGATGATAGCAATCAACTTTCAAGATACAACAATTAACTTCTTATTTTTGTAGCACTCCAAAAACGAACGAACCAAATTATGACTTTTGTACTCCTTTTGAATGAAATGAAAATATATTTTTATATAAAAATTTGGCTAAGGAAATATGAATGTTTATATTATACTATGATTGCATTCATTTCACATAGTATGATTGCATATCATTGAAATGAAGTAAAGGACGCTAAAGGTCTAATTTATGGAGGAGGAGCGATTGTGAGTGAAGAGATACGCCTCAAAACTCAGCAACCTTTGCCAAGAATCCTAGCCTTTGCTATCACTCGCCTATCGCCCGTGCATCGCTCGAGATAAAAAACATAAAAGTTGTCACTCGCCTGTCGCTCAAGCCACAAACGTATCATCCGCTTACCGCTCAAGCGATAGGCAAGCGATGGAATTGGGCAAATACTCGGCCAATTTACCTCTTTTCATTCCAACCATGGATCATAATTTGTCATTTGTCCATAATTGGTTTTGAGATTCCAAACATACCACACTGATCTATTTGACAAGTAGAACAAGTTAGTATATTTATTTCCATAATTCGACCATCGAATCAAATCCGAATATTTGGCCGAAGTGGACATGAAAGTCACTTTACCATGATTTTATGCTTAACCAATTCCAACATATTCTTTCTTCAACTAGACAAAGAAAGGAGCAATTTGTACGAAATTTATGTACACAAAAAACAGGGAACAATCATTTAAGTATTTGGTTTAATGTTCCCCAAAGCAATTCCTAGTGCAATCTTATAACAAAAATGTAGCCGAGCAAACACATATTCTCAAAAGTAACCTCGTATTGATTATTGAATAACCTGCTGTATATCAGATCAATTATTTAGGTTCCAGGCTCTCAACAAACAATAATGTCTATCACTTTAGAACAAATGTTTCTCAATCTCAACACCTAACTCAGTTCTAAACCAAAACTGCAACAATCGTGAATAAGCCATTTAATCCCTGCTCCCTCACCTTTCTTATGAATAAATCAACGACAACCAATAGTATACCCTACAAAACTACTTCACTATCACTGAGGTGAGAAGAAATCAAAAAGCTGATCAAGATTTATCCACGAAACTTAATCCATTTCTTTTATTGATTGCTTCAATTTTTCAAAAACTAGGTGTGAAAGAAGTTACTTCAAATTATATACCAATGGTCTAATCAGAAGATTAACATAACTTTTTACTTGAAATTTAAACCGAAATAGGATATTGAGCTGTGGGTAGTTAGTACGTGATCAAGTGGGGATCAAGAAAACATAAAAAAACCAAAGATTAAATAAATTGATGTAGATGAGATATATCTTCATGTTTCTCAAGACAAACACTTAAACATATCATCTTGTTTTTTCCCGTAAAATACAGCAAAAGTAAACTATGCGATACAGAAGAAAGGATACATAAAACCCACCATACCAAAATAGAATTGGGACCAGTTACTTCGTATTCTACATATTAGACTATGAACTTTGTGCAGAGCAAAAGCCCCAAAGCTAGAAGTAAAACCGACACTATCAAATCTATACAATAAGCTGCAATCAATCTTTATATTAGAAGTTGAACAAGAAAAGGCCCCACGCCACAAAAAAGGAAAAGAAAGGAAAGAAAAGAAATATCACTTAGAGAGTCGCTGATTCCCTTGAACAAAGTCAAAAAAAACATAATGAATAACCCTGAAAAATTTGCGATCAAACAGATTATAGCTCAGGGAATTATCGATTTTTCACGATGACGATCAACAGTTGATGATCAAGAAATTGGCACACTTATATCATCAAATATGTAAAGATAAAGTACAGATGATGGTGAAGATTAAAGTCAGACCTTTCTCCTCGGTTCTTGCTTTGTGAGCAAAACTATGAGTAAATTGATGAATTATGCAGGGGTGTTTAGATGGAGAGTCGCTACACTCCACACAGTCCGGAGACACTTGATTAGATAATTCTTGAGGCCGAGGACAGATAAATATACTGTTTTTTGTCTGCAATGAAATGAGTAGATCTGTGATAAGAAGGAGGGCCACGTGCGGCTTGGAGCGTGTACATATGGATATTAGGCTTTGAAGTTCCAATCTTTTCGCGAATCGTAAAATTTGAATTTGTTGTCTAATAGTTCTTTTTGCCGATCTAAAATTTGATTTTATCGTCTAGTCATGCTTTGTGTTTTCTACGCTTAGGCTTCATCTAAACATGTCTAGGTTAGTAAAAATTTGAATGACGAACATGAAATGAGTATACCAATGGTGAGAAGGAGGACTATATGCAATTTTGAGCAAGTACATTAAGACTTTCAATGGATTGAATTTAGATCCGAATTCAATTCGAATGAATTCATGAAAGATGAATTTAAGTTCTCAATCCGATAACTTAATCAAGATTCGAATCCGATAATTCATTAATTAAATGGAGCAAATATGAATATAGGTCATTTCGATCCAATAACAATCGATCTGATTTGTTATAATAATTAATATATTTTATATATTACTGCATAATATATTTCGCATAAATTATTATTCTTATTTTTTTCATTTTGAAACTTATATTATGCTTTATAACTTTTAATGAATAATATCAAATCTATCAAATTTAAATATAATATTAATATATATTATAATAAATTTTGTATTGAAATTGAGAATCCACTCTTTGAATTATCAGATCGAATAGAATATGGACAGATCTGATCCATATTCAATCATTTTACAACCCTAATATACATATGAATAATGCATTGTAGATAGGCGTGAAGTTTGGTCTTTTCTAATCACACTGTATAATTTTTCCTTTAGGCTTTGCTTAGACTTGCATAGACTCATAAAAATTTGAAGTCTACCCACACTTTGGACGCTTTCAAAATTGAAGGGGTAGGTTTGATAAATTATGGAAGGTGAGTTGTGTTTAAGGTACAAGCGCGTGAGCTACTGGGATAGATAATTTAAAGGCATCAATAATTTATACTGACTTTGTGAAGATACCGAGAAGTTTCGTGAAGGAAAATTGACAAGTGGATGATTATGGTTCGGACTATGAATTTTATTTGGATTTTTTTATTGGGTTGAGTATGGTTTAGTCATTGTTTTTGTTGATTTTTTATGCTTTATTGATGCATTATTATTATTATTTTTTAATAAGATAAGACAATGATCATGTGCCCTAACGGCCCAACTTTATTATTATTATTTTTAGTTTGGTCCAATTTTGGTTGATTCCTTATGAAATTTGGGCCTGAGATCCATCTGGACCGACCCAGTTGAGCTGCAAGAGAGGATGTCCCAGCCTACATTAACTCTACGAACATGCTGGGCTTATAAGGGGCCCTCAACAGCCCAAATAAAAGGTGTTCGTTTTACACCTACAGCCCAGTTAAAGACTTCCAACATAGTGATAATTACATAAAACCCGAGAGTTAAAAATTAGGGTTCAAAAATCATATGAATAGTTTAATAGTTCAAAAATCAAATTTTCATCTTTAAATTAAATACCAATTATACTCGAATTTCATTCAAATCCGTCTTCTCTCTCTCTCAATTATAATCAATTTTCTCTCTCTCCTTTTCCTTCTCTCTTTATCAATTATAATCCATCTCCTTCTCGCTCCTTAAACTCTCCCCACCCGTCTCTCTCTCTCTCTCTCTTGGCAGATCAAGAAGGGTTTAGGAGGTGATGCTTCTATTTTCACTCTCCCCACCTGAATTCAACTTCACCGGCAGCTTCATCCCCAAGTTGTGTCGTCTCTTCCAGACGGTAGCGCATTGATCTGTGGCCTCATCTTCACCGGCGGCTACAGTGCGCATCTCGCTCGAGTCTCCACAATCTGTCTCCGCCACCGATTTCTATAGCTGTGGATCTATCGTCGGCGTGGTGGATTTGTGGGTGTCGGCCGATGATATTGGATCTCTAATTTTGGATTAATTTTTTGGATCTGTAATGCTCCGGTGGTGGCATTGAGCGGATAAGTTTTGATTTTGGTTCTAACATTGGGCTGGAGGAGAATAGGGAAGAGGACAATGGTGGTTTGTGTGTTGGATGGCATGGGTGACCAGATCTGTTTTTTTTTTTTATTTTTTAAGTGTTTTGGTGATTGGTTCCTGTTAATGTGGTGGTGGTTCCAATAGTGAGGGATGGCCGGTGGTGTTCTGGTGGTTTTACCCACGACGGTGTTGCTATCGAGTGGCGGTGGTCGTTCTGACGGCGATACTGCTGTAGGCAGAGGTTGTCATAAGTGTTGGTGGTGGTCACATGGTCACAAATTATTTGGTTGATTGTGATCATAAAATTGATTAATTTGTGGTCAATAGAGACCGATGAAAAGATAAATTGTGACCAATGTGACCTAAACAAATATCAATTTGTGACCGTCTAATGACGTGATCAATACCTACATTGTGACGTATTAATTTTCGATCTGTGATCGATGAACAAATTGTGACTTATAAATTTTTTTAATTGTGACCGTAAAATAATTTGTAATATTTAAAAATTATGATTTCTGATCGAAAAATAATATATGACTAATTAAAATATGAATCTGTGACCAAATGTATAGATATGTGACCTTAATGTATGACAAAATCGAATAAATTGGATACTAATTCAATCATTAAATTTGCAATTTTTTTCCTCAATCGTGAATGATTGTCTTTTGTTTGGAATGTAAATATGTATTTTAAGGAGTTTGTTCAAGTATGGAAACTGAATGCTTAATTTTAGGGATTTAATTTCAACAAATTTCTCTCTCTCTCTCTCTCTCTCTCTCTTAGTTTTAAAATTAAAAACTTGTCATCTTAAAACTAAAATATAGCATAGTTAATATAGGGATTATGAAATTTTCCCTTTGGGCAATGCGTGGTGTCAAAGTAAAACTATAGCAAGAAATTGCCGTTGACATATCTTAAAACAAGAAAATTATTTGTTCACACTTCGATTTTAGTTCTTTAATTTGAAATATCCATCGTGAAGAAGAAATTCTAAGTACGATATAATGTTGAGAAGCGCAAGAATTGGTAAAATTGCAATATTGGGAATTGAAATTCATCTTAAAAATCACCACAAATCGATAAATAGTCTTGAGCAAAGTATATGAGAATTTCTTTCTTTTTTATAGAAGAAATCCTAAGTTTAACATGGATTGTAGACGACTGTAGTGGCATGTGGTTGGATGCTGCCTACTGTTATGGTATGCGGTCACAACAATGCTTGCAAGTACTTTGATTCAAAGATGGCAAAAAATTAAAATTTCCATTTTATTTTCCTTCATAAACTATTTTCTTGGATTCTTTCTCATTGCTATAAAAAGTTTTTTCGTATTTGGTTAGTCACACAATACAAAATATGAGCCTCCCGAGTGGTGGCTTCTTCTCTCTTTTGTGTTTGGATCAAGTTTCATTGCATTTTGGAGGCATTTTACTTTCCCTTGTACATCACTGGTAATGGAGACAAATATTGTCTTATGGAGAGTTTTGACCTGCGGCTTGAAATCCATTGAGGGCTAATATTTCAGTTCAATTCGAGTTACTGTAAGGCATTCTCCACCAGTCATGCATAGTAAAGTAAAACTATTTGTCAGGCGAAACTTAGATACCTGAATTACCAAAAAATAAAATAAAAAATAAAATAAGGTAAAACTATTTGTTGCTAGTATCATTTAGGCCGATAAAGGTGGTGTTACGAAAGAAGAAGCCGGGAATGGCCAATTTTCTTGTGGTGACCACAAAACAACTTTAAATATGTTTGTGCAAACTTCTACCTCAATGTAAGTTAATTAGACATGATAATATAAAGAAGCCAATTCCATTGAGAGAGGGAAAAAGGTGAGGGTGAAACATGCTAGGTAAAAGGGAGAAATGTCCACAAGCAGGGTCGATCATGAGATTTTAGGCGTTCTGTGTAACATTTTAAAATTGTGCTCCTTTTAATGTAATTTTAAAAAATATGCATAGAAAAAAATATATTCCAATATTAATATTATTTCATTTGAAAAATATTACAGTATTTGTGTTTTTTTTTTATTTCGTAAATAAGAAAAATTACAAGTAAAGCTCAAAAGCACCTTTTGAATTTCATCAAAATTCATATATCATCAACAAAAAACCATCCAAACCAGTAACCTCTTCGTGTAATTCCACATGAACAAAAAAATGACGACATTACAACCTAGAACTCAAAAATTCACGAAATAACAATTAATGAGTGGATAATTGGCACTAATAAAATGACCATATTATGATGTAGATTATACTATTGTAAAGCAAGCAACAAAGATTGACGGTAGAATTTTTCCTATTCTCTGTTTGACTATTTTCCGTGAGTTAAAAGGTAGGACATAGGGAAATGGTGAAAAGGGATATGGGGTTAACTTTTCACTTTTCACTTTAATTATTTAAAATTTGGGCTAATTATTAATTGGTTAATGAAGCTAATTGGATATTTGGGATCACACCCGTAAAATAGATAGCTTTAAAATATTTTTTCCTTTTGAAAGCAAAATAATTTAAAATTAAAAAATATATATATTTTTTTTCAATAATATGTTAAATTAAAAAAATGTTATCGTGTATTCTTTTTTAAAAATATTGTGCCCTTTAACTTAATATAATAAAAATTTTAAATTATATTTTAAATATATGATTATAAATGCACAAAATAATAATAATAATAATAATATAATTGATGCCCCTATAATGTCCATGTCATGTGTGGTCGCTCAACTCACACACCTTCAACATTACCTCTGGCTACATACAGGTTTTTTATCTAACAAATATACAAATAGTGAAGCATGAATTCTGTAAAATTCTTATTCTACAATAGTTTCAGTATAAGAGTGCACAATTAAGTTCTTTTGTCGAGTGTGTATTAAGTAAGAAACGATCTCAAGTCATTATTTATACATGGTATATTTTTGTAGTTATAATGTAAATTAGACTGACATAAACAAGAAATAATTTTATTCTTTTTGTTCTTTTGAACTTATGAAAGGAAATTAGATGACAAAATATTCCAACCCAACTTACACACGAATGCAATTATCCGTACACATTTAAGAGAAAATAACTGCCCTCAGGGCACATCTCCAAGTGGTAAAAGAGGGTGGTGGAAAAATCCAACTTTCATTGAGATTGTCGTGTCAAGGGTTCGAATCCTGAAATATGAATTTGGCTATTGGATAAGTGCAAGTGTACAAACAGTCTTCCACCCTATACCTTTGAAGGCATAACCTGCGATTTACCTCCCTCATGATACTCTTGGACAGGGGCGGTGGGAAACCCTTAAGGTTGGGGTTCAACCTTTTTTTTAAGAGAAAACAATTGTGTAAAAAGAGAAGGTTATGAAAATAATTTTCCTTTTTCAATCCCATTTTTCTTATTGGTGTCAATTAAATACCGGAATTAAGAGAATAGGTAGCAATATCTTTAAATCTTTTTCTCTCTCTCAAAATTTCAAGTATTGATTCTTGACCCGACCGAATATGGAAACTATCTGCATGCGAGGAATTACGTTCCCACTTTCGACATTGAAAAGACACTTCAAACGCCTTTACAATCTGATTTCAAACTGGATTCGATCGAGTCACAACGTTTCAATCATTCTCTAATTCGGATTCATGTTTCTATCAAAAATGTAATTGCTATTTCCTATAAAGGGGAGAAAAAATTCATCACAAACCCCACTTTCTCTCACAGTTTTGCTTCAAGTTCTCCGTTAAGAGAATTCGTCATAAACCCCATTTTTCTCTTTTAGTTTTGCATCAAATTCTGCCTTCGCCTTTCTGAAAATTAATAATAATGACAGGAGAACAAAGTTCGTACCAAGATATGGATCGTCACTGGAGAAAAGAATACATTGTTGGTTCCGGTACGTATGGCACCGTGTATTTGGCGTCAAAGCTCGATTCTCGACTTTCCCTTTCTCCTCCTTCCATTTCCGTGGCCGCTGTGAAGTCCGACAGCGTTTATTGGTCCTCCCTGAAGAAGGAGGGAGAAATTCTGCACGAACTGAGAGGTTGCCCCGAGATCGTCCAGTGTTTTGGAGCAGATATAAGTTTTGAAAACAATAGAGACGTCTTCAATCTTCTCCTTGAATACGCAGCTGGTGGATCCCTCGTTGATCTGATAAAAAACAATGGAGGAAAAATCCAGAATCTCACGTTGCATGTTACACTTATATGCTGCTTAGGGGTCTCTCTCACGTTCATGAGAAAGGGTTTGTTCATTGTGATATGAAACCTGATAATATTCTCGTTTTTCCCAGTGTACATGGCGGTACCATACACAATCTCAAGATAGCAGATTTTGGATCGGCCAAGAGAATCGAAGAGGAAGAAGAGTTTATTCCTGGGTCATCGAGCTTCAACAGAGGCGCACTTCTCTATGCATCCCCAGAATCCATATCTAAAGGGATACACAAGCCAGTTACTGATATATGGTCTCTTGGCTGCATTATTGTGGAGATGATCACAGGCAAACCCCTTTGGACTAATGGGAAGGCACGAGATTTGATCGATGAAATTATGTTTGGTCATCCAAATCTACCGAAAAATATTTCGTATTGTGCGGAAGATTTCTTAAAATTGTGCTTGACAAAGAATGAGTATCAGAGATGGACGGCCAACATGCTGTTGGATCATCCATTTATTTTCACGAATTTCTCAGCATTGCCACTAAATTTTAAGAATCCAGTGCTGCCTAATCCCTTTGGATCCGATATACATGTCTATAAATTGGACCTATTTTCCACACCATCGAAGATTGAAGAACCTACTGATCGTTCAGTTAATGTACAGAAATAAAGAAACATTCATTTATTGTAAAAATTGTGATGGGCTTGTACCGGTTAGAAATTGATTTTGAGTAAAATTTTGTTTAATTTTCTAGATATATGTAATTGTGCAAATTTTGCATTTTAAGTTCTTTTTATGTTGTTGTCATTTAAGCAATATATGGTGTTATAATCCGGATCAAATTTGAAACTAGTTTGTTCCGAAAAGCGAAAGATAATATTGGATTAATCCAAGACCACGTACTTTGTTAAAGAGAATAAGAGATTAAACCACAATATGATGTAATTGATCGAAAGCAAAAGAATAATAAAAGACAAGAAAATATCGATGAGGAATTGGGAGACTTTATTATAATATGAAAAAAGAATACAAAGATTTTGTATTTATAATTTGTCTAACTTATAATGAAGATAGATAACCTAACTAAATTGTAGAGAGTAGTCAAATATATATAAAAAAAAAAGAATCTGAGTATTAGAAATAGAGTTGTAGATGAATAGAATGTCCAAAAGTTTCCTTATCTTGATCTCTTTAAGTTCAACACAAATTTCAACTCCCAATAAAGCTTTCAAATAGAACTTCAACTAGAATTTGTCAAATAGATTTCGAATAGGATTTCAAAAGCATTCCAAAATTGATTTTTTCTTGACGTTCATTTCAATTAGAACTCTTCAATTACTTCAACAATGAATTTGGATGTGACCCAAATTCTAACAATTTCTACTTTGACGCGAATTCCACTATAATGAATGAAACTTTAAAATTCTTTACCCCTAGACAAATTCCACGACAAGGAATAAACTTGAACTCTTCAATGAAAAAATACAAACAAACTTTTCCATCAACAATTTTATTATTATTTATTTTTTTTTTTTTTTTTTTTTTGATAATTTTTGGAGGACTAATCATAGAGCAATAAAAGGTGAATACATCAAAAAAGGTGGATAAATATTTGGGGAACACAAGATTCAAGCGATCAAGAATGTAAATCTAAAATAGGTTTTATTCTCACTTTTGTATTTTCTTCATTATTATCTCATATTTACAATGTATTGTGTAAAATATTTTTCTTTTTATCATTTATATAATATGAGCTAATTTATTATGTTGGAATTTGTGGTGTTAGTTTAACATAACTTTAATTAATTTTAATATTTGCTCTTTAATGTTTAGTTACTTATTTTCGTATGTTTTTATTATTGTTATCTATTGCATTTTTATTTATGTGGCCAATGAATGATTATGTTTGGTGATTTATATACTGTTCGAGAGAAGATTGTGTATTTTAAATCAAATAGTAGAAACCCTATATTTGTGTAGGGGATAGAGATATACTCCTAACTTTAGATAATCCATTGATCTATTTTTACAAAGATTTAATGCGGTTATTTGGTTTTAATAGACATAGAGATATAGTAGGTTAAACCAATCAATTATAATTAATTTCACTTGAGGGATGTAATTAACTAACAATGGGAGATCAGGTCTCACATCGTAATAAGTAATTTGTTAATTAATTTGTGGATAAATTAATTAGGCTACGGTTAAACAAAAGCATAAATCCCAATCACGTTTTTTTCCGAAATTTTCGAGATTTTTATATTTTCTTATTTTGTAACTTTTAGTTATTTTCCTTATTTTTCAAAATCATAATTTTATTGCCTTTTTTTTATCGTTAGAATTAAACTAATTAAAATTGTATAATTGAAAGTATACATTCCTGGACGAATCGATAATTCGGATTCAAAAAGTCCACTTTATTACTTGAACTCGACCCATGCACTTGCGGTTTGCACTTGCTTAACAAACAATCACGACTATATAAAATCATGTTTTTAAATAACAAATATGAAGCAGTCAAAAAACACAACGAAATCAATCCCATATAAGTTAACACTACTTGCCTTTTAATCTGCGACAATGAAAATCTTATACTGCGATCTAATAGTGGAACATCAAACTTCATGGTTGCCATCCCAAAACAAAATCTCCTTGTGAATTAAGTCTGAGCTCTAATAGCACTTGTTATAATCCGAGCCAAATCTGAAACTAGTTTGTTGAGAAAAGTGAAAGATGATATCGAATTAATCCAAGACAACTTTGTTGGAGAATCTAAGAGATTAAATCACAATATGAAGTGTCTATGATTTATCTAATTTATAATTAGGTTAAATAACCTAACTAAATTGTAGAAAAGAGTCAAATATATATAGGAAACAATCCCAGTATTAGAAGTATAATTGTAGATGAAATATAATGCCTAAAAGTTTTCTTATCATGATATCTTTAAATCCAACACAAATTTCAATTTCTAATAGGGATTCCAAATCGAATTTCAACTAGAATTTGTCAAATAGATTTCGAATAGGGTTTCAAAAACGTTCCAAAATTAAAATCCTCTTGACGTGCACTTTAATTAGAACTCTTTAATTACTTTAACAATAAATTCGGGTCACATTTAAATTCTAACATATGGAATAATATGAACCTTTGAATGGACATTCCAGACCCTTTTTTTTTTTTTTTTCTTTTGTAAATTTAAATGCTCTGTTAGAAGTTGATTGGTCACTTAATTTTTTTCATCAATTTAAGAAGTTTGACGTGATCTTGATTGAAAATTAATCAATTTCCATTTAGCCCCCTTATTTGACAATCATTGAAATAAATTTTTTTTTGCTCAAACTCATTTTCAATCACATATATTCAAAATAAAATATTTTACACATAAATTTAAAATTATTTCTTTCTTTTTAGCTACGCATTCTCAAAAAATCACTGTTTCAAAACTCATTTTCTCCCCAAAATAAAAATAAAAAAAAATAAAAATAAACCTCCTTTTAATGATTGTAAAATTGACATGATCTTATACCAAAAAAAATTTGAAAAATTATTGGAGATAGTTATTTTATTGGGTAATACTACGTGTACACTTTTGGTTGTATATAATGTTTTACATCCCCTTACATAAAAGAGCCACACATATAATTTATTATGTGTGGGTCTTCTTTCATGTGAGAGGGGTGTAACCTATCATGTATACTAAGTCCTCGTTTGGCCTCCATTTTGTTGTAATGAAAATGAGTGGAATAGTATTTTTTGAAAAATAAGTGATTAAAAAAATTTTTGATTTACGTACAATATTATTTTATGAAAGATTGTGTGGTTGAAAATAAGAGAGAAAAAAATGAAACGTAATAAAATGAAATTTAATGGGGGCCAAACAGGGGCTAAAAGTGTACAATTAGACTAATCCTATTTTATTTTGGTAATGATGTATATGGTACACCATTCCCATTGAATACGTGTTCACAATAATTGAAATCAAGTGCAGTGGCGGAGCCACGTTGAGACTAGTGCGGGCATACATTTTAGGTCCAAACTTTTTTGCTTTTTTTTTTTTTTTTTCAAATAGCAACAGGGGAGGAGGTGGAATAAAAATATATTTTAATTTACATGGGTTTTATTTTTAGGTCCAAACCCATGATTTTGTTTTATAGTTTATCATCATTAAATTTATGATCAAAACACAATGTTCCACATGGGTTAAATTATGCCGGAAAGTGGCGGATCCAAGAAAAAATTCAACGCGGACTAATACATATAAAAAAAAATACTGCATATAAAAAAAATTACTTAATTTTTTTTAAATGAATATTTGGGCTGAAGGGGACGGGCTGTAGCACGGCCCAGCCCGTCCCTGAATTCGCCCATGCCTGCACTGAACAAATTTCCTGACTCCACCCCTCATCGTGTGAGTCTTCAACTTGAGCAATGCACACACTGAAACCAATTACACTAATTTCCAGTAGTGATTATCAATACGGCTTTCATTTCAATAAGATTCAAACTGTTCAGCCTAACTAAGCTTCTGTTTGATTTAAATAAAAATAAAATTTTCAGTAAATTTTAATAAAAATTAATGAATTTTATAGTTAAAAAGTTGGTAAAAATTATGGAGACGTTGAAAATAAGTCTGAGAATAAAATGAATTTTAGAAAAAGGAATGCAAAAAATCAATAACAAATTCAACCTTTCACCAAGTTATAATCTATGACTTCATTCTCCCGCATACAATTTCAAACTTTATAATCAAAGACTTCGTTGCTGGATCAGAAAAATCTACTAATTTTTTTACTGAACTTGATTAATGAAAATAAGTACAAGACAAGTCTGTGATTGTGACGTCGAA